ACCCTGTAATACTGGTATATTAGGAATATAAGAGGACCCTAATATAATCCTTATTATCCCTTATAGTCACTATTACTGGGTGGGGGGTCCACCTAAAACATGTTGTGCCATTGCGAACAGGAAAGACTGTACCTATGTGGCTGCGTGATTTCAGTTGAGAACCTATGTGTGTGCACATAAGCGAGGATTCTTTTTTTGTCACTCTTGTTCAACCGCTATGCCGAGCACCTCTCAGTCTCTCAGTATCATCTTCACGGTAGACCCCGCATAGACTCGCCAGAAAGCTGCCCCTGAACTACCCTAAACCCTAAACCTGAACCCCTGCAGGAGCGCAGCTGTCGACCAGGATTAGCGTTATGTCCTCATGCAGGCTGTAGTCCATCCTTGACAGCGTGCACGGTACAGCCTTTGTTTGTGCCCCTGGGAGGTGGGACTACAGGAAACCAGATCCAAAATTTAAAGTAGGCACTTGTCACTTGGGATAGGGAGACAACTAGGAATTGCACCGTATCATTCGGAATATGTGGGATGTATTGAGGGAGGCTCTGGATTACAATGGTCATATGATGGACATTTATCAGGGTTACTGTTTCCAAGGGCGGGTCCCTTGGGTGCTCGGGATCATATGATGGGTAATGGCAATGTAGAGGCTGGCCATGTTTTTGGTTCTTGGCAGTGATTGATCTTGCATGTTCCCAAGCGGGCGATGTAATGATTTATAAACGTCCCTTACATAGTACCCCCCCAACCTCCATGATTCTCCGCCGAGCTGCTTGAATTCCACCACCCTAGACAGACACCAACGGTTTCTCAGTGGACTTTAGTGGGTTCTATGTGAGTTTAAGTCTAGGGTTTAGGGTTCAGGGTTTGGGGTTGAAGGATAAGGTAAACTTCCTTACATGTGTGGTCATTGTATGCGGCTTTCTCAGAATCAAGTCATGAAGGGGACCCTTGGATTCCATGTAAAGGTTCAGGAGCCCCTCTTCAAACTTCATCAGATTACTGTACTTTGGCAATTTCTTAGACTGAAGGGGCTTTAGAATTCGCAAAGGTTTTGGGGGGAGATTCAATTTTCTTGCAAATGGATACTCTTACTTCTTCAGCCTTCTAGCTTAGGAGGAGCCCCCCTACTGTAATGGTGGCATACTAGGAATGTAAGAGGACAATATAATCCCTAGTCTCCCTTACAGTCAGTATTACGGGGTGGGGGGTCCAGCTAACTTCTACCCGAATCCAGCCTGCGCCCTTCAATAGCCCCTACCTAAAACCTCCTATGTAATTCCTTTTTGGGCTTGTTATGGTGTTTTTCTGGTAAGGGACTACAGTATACAACCCGAAAAGGAACTACATAGGAGGGTCTGGGTAAACCCTGATCAATAATCCAATGCCCAGCGTCAGCAGGTGCGTGTCTTTCATCTCCACCATTCCGTCCGCAGTGGTGCACAGTTTGACGATGCAACTTTGGCAATCCTGGGAAACGTAACTGTTTCAACTAATTAACACTTTAAGCAAGAAGCCCTTAAACTGGATGGCACGTTAAAGCCCCCAAAATTATTCATGAATAGGTTCCCTTGTGCAGGAATGGGGACACTACTTATCATCCTACCCAAACTGCGACGCAGAGAAACATAAAAATCCAATTCGCCAACCCGCTGGGCACGCAGCTGGTGCAATGCAAGACCTTCTTGGGGCGCCACGCTGGGATAGGACTCAACAATGCTTGTGCAGGTTTGGGGTTTTACGCTCTCAGCTCCCACTCGCGCATGCAAATCAGACATGTGCACAATTTCTCGAAACAGGCACAATCACCGCCACCCCCTCTTTTCCTCGATGGCCGAGGAACCGCCCACACCCCCCCGGTCGCCCTCTGAACTGTCAAAATGCTGCTGAACTGAGAACCGGCGATTGAATTTTATTTCAGGGAAGGGACACACGGCCAAAGGCGCTCTTCAAAAAATGACAGCGCAACTGCATCATAGCTCTGGCTGAATCATGCTAGGCTAGCGAGGACCGCACAAAGGACCACCCCTGGATGCGCAGCCACTTCTGAATCCGAATACGCACAAAAACGATAACCCCATGAGTCCTAACATCTGGCCCGGCCATTTAAGGAGTGAGACCAAAGGCACCTATGTAGTTGCTGATGGTTTGCTTTGGTGTCCTTTGGGGTGTAAGACTTGAGACATCTCTACCTGGAAGGCGCTACGCAGGAGCCTTTGGGTGCATAACTTCACTTTGCTGGCACAAGCGTCATACTTTGCTCTGATGGCTTGCTTCACCTCAGCGTATTCAAAGTCAAAAGACACACTGATAGACAGGATATCGTTGGGGAATATCGGAGGGACCACGGCAGGCTGCATTTGTATGAAGTGCACCTGGCAAGGGAATCTTGAAAATGTCACGGATCAGCTACGAAGAAAGACCCCTCTTCTTCTTGCGTGGCCAAAGATGTAAGCTGTTGGGTATAGACCCTGAAGTATACCCCAAGTATCCAGGTTATATAGCATCATACGCATTTGAGATCCAGGTGCCAAATACGACGATCTCATTGGAGCTTACTGGCTAAACTTGCAAAACTTTCCTGCTCAGATCCATGAAGATCAGTCTCAGTGCACCCCTTCCCTCCGTGACAAGCCCCCCGCCCTGAACAAATAAAAAACTTTCTAACCACGGTAGTTATGCAAATAATACCTACATTGGGATATTTGGATTCCCAGGTAAGGTGGTGGTGGCGGGGGAGGCAATTTTTGGGGCAGGGGGATTCAGCCCCATGTCTCCAAGTCGTGGCTCAAGGTTCTCGGACCCAAACACAGACGCGCCCTGTTTGGCAAAAAACATGAGGATCCACACGCACATGCAATGAAGAAAACAAGCTTGGTAACCAACGTCTACATGTATAGTTGACATTTATCAAAAAAAGGCTTAGGATAAAGGGTTTGGAACTTAGCGTGTTCTGACAAGCGGATGTCAACTTCATAGCCGAAATAAGAGGACTTTTAACTTTCAATCTAGGTACTCTTAACGAGCTGCCAAAAACCTTGGGAAGCTGGCATTGCTATGTCTACATGACGTCGGACGTGGAGGAAGTCACCAAGAGAAAACATTTCAAGACAAAGCGCCATGAGTTGGGACATTCCTGCACTGTAGTCCTCGTTCAGTAGGCTTAGGGATTAGGGTTGTAAGGAGTTTACTCTGGGCGTCCCGCTTTCGATGTCAGTCTGCTTCCTTCACTATAGCGATTGGACTGCGTTGTTGTTTTTGTCGCTGTGAACTGGAGTGGAAATTCAACTGTTCTTTCTGGTGGGCTTGCGGTCGCGTGCAACTTTTTTGGAAAGCGGAAACAGACCTCTTATTTTAATCTGTAGATATACTTCTACATATATCCTTGGGTCCAAGAGTAGAACCACCGTGAACAATTCCTAATGCACTTGGCCCGCTGCGTCCAAGTCTAATTACATTGCACATGTTTTGGACAGGGGCAAGCTTACTTCACCTTTGGATTTCAGAAAATCTCCGTCCCATTATGCGAAGCTCAAGTAGGAGGGCCCTTTTTTGGGGATGGATCCTCATCTCCAGAAACCCTTTGAATCACTTGCACTTCATGTATCGAACCCGAAGCCGTCAACCCTAATTTAATACATACCAATAATATTTCGCAACAACGCCAGAAGAAATTCTAGTAGAATGTATCTCGCAACCCTGTTCTCCTAGTTCAGGCTTCAACATTGCCCTATACTTCTAGAGGAACTTGAGGGACAGATGACTCCAAAGCCACTGCAGTTTCCGTTTTCTTTCTCATTCCTTCATTCTCCACCAACCCCTTGAGGGCCTGACTGCCTGTACAGTATCGACAGCCGGGTGAACTGTGACGGGATACTCCTTGCCCGTAAGGCCCTTCCAGCGGTGCGCTGTCTTGGGTGCAGCTCTTGGGCTTTGGGTGGAATGCCTTCTTAGATGTAGAGAAACATATATGCACATTATCTATACACATCACTCTGTAG